CAGACAGACAGACAGACAGACAGACAGACAGACAGACAGACAGACAGACAGACAGACAGACAGACAGACAGACAGACAGACAGACAGACAGACAGACAGACAGACAGACAGACACACACACACACAGGCACATGCACATGCACATGCACATGCACATGCACATGCACATGCACATGCACATGCACATGCACATGCACATGCACATGCACATGCACATGCACATGCATAGCAACACACAAACGCACACACACACACACACAAACACAATGCATTTAGACTACGGTCCGTATTCAGTGCGCTTTGGTTTGGATTTAATATGAGCAATAATCCCAAACACAATCCCATGAATCAACATGAAAGCGCCGCCCTCCCAAACAGGGAAAACACTGCAGTGGCTTCAGAAACCAGCTGCTGATGCCAGCAAAGAAGGCCTAACTGAACAACAAACTACCAGTCAACCAGTTCCGAAGGGTAGAACAACCACCAACTTCGCAGAACTTGCAGGCGTTGAATGTCCAACAATGTTCATGACGCTACCTTGAGGTGGTTGGTGATGTTCGTTCCCCGGATCAGGCTAAACTGATTCAGAAATGAGTCATAATCAAACCCGGTACTAAAATGGTCTGCCAGGAACCATGTAAAGAATCAAGAAGGCGGCCGCAACTATTTATGGCTGGGACTGCCCCTTACTAACCTTCATCTACCCGGTTTTCGATTGTGGCTCAAATGGAACAGGGGACACATCCATCACATCATGCCGCTTCTAAATTCTGTGCTGATCGCCAGGTCATGCCCAATGCAGCCGTGTGACCGTGCGAGCATTGGGACTGAGCATGTTCTCTTCGTCACATCCGATCTGGAGAATCCTCTCCCTCTGCAGGATCTTGAACAGGCCCTTCTCCTGAAGCCGCAAGATATGATGTGCAAATGGTTGGTGGCTGGGAGTTTGATTCGGGTGGAGCCTAGCCCGCAAAAGTCAGGACGCGAGTCAAAGCTTGCCAAACAAATGCTCTGAAACTAGCATGGAGCCCAAAATACCTTCATTCATCAAGGTGGCCGGAGTAACATGGGGTGCTGGCTTGACTCCCAATTCTTCGGACAATTACAATTGCAAGCCTCTCCATGGCACTTGTATGTTTTAGAAGCAAACCACCTTCCTCCATTTGCTTAAGTCCCCAAAAACAACAATCAAGAGGGAAAAATCAATAAAACAAATATTAAGCAAATGGAAGCCTTCACTTGCAGGCGAATCTCCTTTGAGGCTACTTACCTGCTGATGATTTGGGATCAGTGATTGAGTACGCTGCCTGTGTCCAGGGTACCCATTTCGGGTGGCTTTGACAAGGAAACCAAATGGACATGAAAACAAACATTATTCTAGCGGTTGATTCCCCATTCTTTTAAACCATCGTTCTTCTCCAAAACCTGCTTTTCTTTGGGTTTTTGCTGGTTTCTTGAAAAGAAGGATCCCTGCAAAGAATAGGGAATCAGCCCCTAGAATTATTGAGCCCCATTTCCAAATCGTAACACTAACCCGTGAAAACGAACAAGTAGAGACCAACCAAAACCGACGCCCATTTCGGGCCCCGGCTCCCCTTATCTTGGCACCCCCATTTGCCATGTGCAGCTTCCCAATTCTGTATGGTCAAGTAACAAACAAGGGAGGACGTTTGCAACTGTTTTGCTAAGACATGCGTACCGAATTGTAGCTTCAGCCTTTGGAATATGACAGATTCCACTTAGTTGGACAAAGCTGCCGTAGACAGGCCAAATTCTGGGGATAGAATACAACCAAACTAGCGCTGACGAGTAAAGCTGTCAAACGCTTGCAAGACAGAAAAACCGTCTGGGACCATTGTTTGAAAGCCCTCGTGGGGCTGTTCGAAACTTGATTTCCTGCATAAAAGGTGCAATTAATTCCAACATCTACATCATGGTGAGCTCGTTTTACCCCCTGGTGAGCTCACAATAGAATTATTTGTTGCTGTTGACCCCTCTGCAAAAAGTTTGAAACTTTTTGTCGGTTTAGTGGAGCACCCCTTGATTTCAACCAACAAGTTAAAGTCTGAAGATCCGTTGCCCAATAGCAGTCAAGAATTGGCAGCCCTGAATGCTGCAGAGGCTCATTGCGACGCTTTTGGAAGGCGTGGCCCGGGTTCTTTTCCTCAGCTCAAGCTATAAACCCATCCTGATCGAAGTCTCCACTACAAAAACGGGGTTGCGGTGTCGTCACCGTACTCAAAAAGCTTGAAGTCTCCAAGTGCGAAAAAGGGGCTTGCTCAAAATTTTCCACTACAAAAATGGGCTTACTCAAGTCTCATGTGAAAATGGGGGTACTCCAACATCAAAAAGGGGAAATAACTCCAAGAAGGCAAGGATTTTCGACTCCAGCCATGTCTCACACTTTTTTCGGACAGGGGATCGGTCCGGTCATCCGTGGAAGCTGCTGCAAGCCAAGGCCATGATTCCAAGGCCGAAAAACCCGCCGAAGCTGAAGAAACGTCAAGCAAACAATGTCGTCTGAAAGCAAAACGGAGTCAAGGTCGTCCAGTGGAGAGGTTAGAACAAGTTGGTGCCCTTTTTTTTCCTGGTTTGTCTATTTAGCAGGGGACCCCTCCCCCCAAAAAAGGGTAAAAGGGCACTGGGGGACCTAGGAGTCAAAACAGATATGAAAGTAATGTTGCCTTCTAGAACTGCAAGATGAGGAGCTTTGGTCATCCCACAGGGTCGATCTCTATCTCTCAACATGTGCCATGCCATTGTAGTGAGTGAGTCGTCCAGCACTGGCGCTCTGAGCGGCCACACCCTCTTCATTGCTGCCTCTTTCATGGACGGCTTCTTGAAACCTGCACAGCGGTCGTGCGTCAAGCGGAGCATTGGAGCATTGACATGCTGAAAGGCACAACACTCAGCACCGGGCAGATGGTTCATCCAGTACTTCTAGGGCTTTATCTTTGATCCATCCCAATTGGTGCAGGATTGTGTCCATTTGTGTCCATAGATAGTAGGGAAGCTTTCCTTGTTGGCTGACTTTACAGGGACACCGAGCGCAACCCATGAGAAGCAACACCCACATCTTGCAAAGGCTTGCCACCCTCGTCACCCGATCGATGGTGGCTTAGGCGTTTATATCCTCTTGAACAAATAGGTAGCACTAGTACCCTCCTTTCCGGAACCTCTGGAGCACTCCATGTTAATGGACAGGAGGGTACATGGCTGTGGGTCAAAAATATGTACCCAAAATGAAACCCTGGTAAGTGGAAACATGGACCAAACCTGCGGTTCCCTGTACCCACATGATGGGAACAAAACTGAAAGCAGTATTATCCATGTTCAACCAAACTGAAGCCACTTCGATAGTTTCAGTTGATCCAGGCGGCCAACCGTCTGTATCCCGTATCTGTGCATCAGCCAGTGCCACCGCTTGCTCTTGAAGACTTTTCCTTGGAACGGTGATCGAATTCCGCAACCCCCGAAAGCAGCAACATGAATATGAATAGATGGACACGGCTTAGCAGGTCCTCCAAGAGGAGTTGCTGAACATGGGGTGGTGAATTTCAGGTCCTCCAAAATGAGCTTCTCAAAAAAAAGAAAAGCACTTCACATGGGAGTGGTGCTTCAGGGTCAGCGTTTAACCAGTCTTTGGCAGACAAAACCGCTGGCCCGCGGACTCCAGCAGAAGACATGGAGCTCTGGATGAGATGTGGAAAGCGGCGAATGTCTTCGGCCATTGGAAGGAAGCCCGTCGAAAATGTTTCAAGGCTCAACCAATGAGCATCCAAGTACTGGCAGAGGCTGCTCATGAATTCCTTGAAAGGAACAACCATCCACAAGTTTGCTGGTGCATGGCGAAGCATCCGCAAACACGCGCCCTGGCTAAGGCCCCCAAGGTCAACAAGTGCAACTGCCCCATCATCCAGTGTAAAAAGCCCGTGCTTAGTCCGTTGGCCTCCAACTATGTTGTTTCGCGAGAAGAGGAGACCAACTTGGCCCTTCTTAGGAGCCCCTCTGGTTTTCATGAGACAAGCTATCCATGAGGCTTGGTGTCTCACTCCTTCGAACTTATTCGCCGAAATCAAACGTGACACTTGTGATGACATAACATGCACAATGAAGGTTCTGAAGCCCTCAACGGTTGGCTCAAATTCCTGTTGGAGCGCATGAGACATGCATGGGATTCAGTAACAAATCCACGGCCACGGGAAAAACACGAACCGTGCTGTTTGCATACTCTTGTGAAGCCGTAAGCAGTTGGCAAACGAGTTTGCCGTCTGGCACATTGGCCACGAAGGCAAGTGAAGCTTGTCAGGCTGCCAGCACGTTGCAAAGCAGGCACCTCTACGCCTCAACGCGAATCCTGGTGCTTTGTGATTTGGTGGTCAAGGCACGTAAAGAACAGTGCTGATTACCCTCCCACCAACTAACATGGAAGTGCAAAAAGGCCCTTTCCAAGAGGAACGTAGTCTTTCTACAGGGGTCTGTGCACAAACCCATGTTAGATGGTGGGAGGGTATGGCTTTCTAGGGATAACTTCTACTGTCAAGGGAAGGACCAATTTTAACTCCAAGTTGCCACTCGGACATGGAGAAGCTCTTGCACAGAATATTCTAGGGCTTTTTTCCAATTCCATTCTAAACCCAGGGATCCGGATCTTTCTAAAAAACCATTAAACCCTGGGTAAATGGCTGGTGTTTGAAAAGAACGATGGCTGAAAAGAATGGGGAATCAACCCCTAGAGGTTTATGTCTGTATTTCCTTGTTGTTTTGGATTCCAACTCTCTGCTCACATACTTCAAACTGGGAAACGTCGGCTCAAGGCGAAAAGCGCATGACACGTTCGAGTTGCCCCAGTGGCTAAAGCACCCCCAGATGGTCACATTTGAACCAGCAACGTATGTCATCTAGATCCTCAAGTAGAGAGGTTAGAATAAGGGTACCCATTTTCCTGTAGTCTATTTAAGTAGGGGAACGAACCCTCCCCCAAGAAGGGGTGAGAAAGGGCACTACTGGGGGACATAGTCATCCTTTGTTTCATTCGTCTTTTCTTTTCGCCGACCAATCCGACTCCCGTGGGAGGCCCCGTTTTTGCCATCGAGTATCTCCATCTCGCGTCGCTGCCATCGATCACGAAGCCGAAGCGCCAGCCCTCGCATCTCGCTTGAGACGCAGGTGTTTCCCGGGAAAAAAAGGGAAAGAAAACGAAAAGGCGGGCAAGCAGACACACACATACACAAAACCCGAAAACAACAGGTTGACCATTGGAACCGAAGATCAAACACAGACTCTCACTTGAAGTGAAATGTGCAACGCAGCCTTAAACAAAAAAACATGTCTATGTGAGCTACGTATTGGCTTGCCAACCAACTCAACATAGTGCCAATCACAAACTTACCTATCACAACCAGCGCACCCACGGAATGGGGTGGCCAGTGTCTATCCAGTCTGCTGCTTGGCATGTCTTTCTTTTTCCGTGACCTATGCCATGCTTTGTTGGTTGAAGGGGTTTAAACAAAGCAAGCAACAAACACAGTTGTGTCCGTTGGGTCCGCTGGAATGCCTTTGCCGACTCGTATTTCTTGGCTTGTGAGTATTGGTTTCATTGCAATTGGCGCGGAATGCCTACTATGAACAGCTAGACGGATTTGGGTCTTCACGCAAAGACTCACCAAAGAGGAGTCTGGGGAGCAAAGCCCCAATCACATCCTCTCACCGGCCAGTAACTTGCTGGTGCGATAGGCAATGACCCAGAACCTAGGCGTTCCCTTAATGCAAGCCACAAGGGATGGCTTGTTTGGGGCTTGCATTTCTCATGCCCTGATCGCAGCAAGAACTCCCTAAAGCAAACCCACTTACCATGGCTACAACCCACAACCCAAAACCCACAACCCAAGAGCAGTCAAGAATCACCCACCCCAAACCCGTTTTTTCTTCTTCTTTCTTTTCTTTTCTTTTCGCGCCATTCCAACTCCTTCTCTGATCGAAGCGATCGCAAGCCCGGCCTCCCGCAGCACCATGGGCAGGATCCATTTCCTCCAGGCGGGGATGATGATGCCTCACTCCAGCGAGCTCTGGCCAGGGCTGGGGGTGGTGGTTGAAAATGGGGATTCACCCCAAAATGGGTACAAATTTGGTGATCCCAACAAAAAACAAACGCAACAAAAAAACGGATTCACCCCAAAATGGGTACAAAATTGGTGATCAAAAAAAAAAACGCAAAAACAAAAACAGGGATTCAGCCCAAAAATGGGTACCTAACCAAGGGAACCCAGCTTTTGAACACCAAAAGGACTTGCTGGCTATGCTGGTAGCCTTTCTGAAGGCGATTCAATGGAAGCTCTCACGATCCGGTTTACGGAGGCCTTCTGGGAGCTTCCAGCTGAGGGAGTGGTAGCCCCAAAATGGGTTGAACCCGGGGAGCTGGAAAGGACTAAAACCTGCGGTCCGTACCCGGGTGACGAATTTTGAACCATAGCCATGCGTCAAAACAAAAAAGGAACATGCAAGCAAGGTCTAGCCATGCAGCCAGGAAGCAACCAAGCAGGCAAGCAAGCAAACAGGCAGGCAAGCCAAAAGCTTCAGATGAAGAGCACGCATCTGTGAAGCGTGGCCCCTCAACCGATGTGGAGATCAGAGGAAATTCAGCTGCCCACGAATGTATCACAATGTGTCTAGTCTTCACAGGGATCCTTACATTATACACCTGAACATTGCCTTGTAAATGGTGGTTTCCCTTTATTTTGGTGGAAGAAGCAATGTTTCAAATGGGCAAAAAATATCTCTTAAGGACCCCTGCTTTTGCAAACATCTACAAAGGAAAACCGAAGCACATGAATTCCAGTGCTAACCGGTGGTTGCCTTCCGGTTTGCAGCCCAACCAACGAAGTCTTGAGCAAGACCTAGCAGAAAGAGCGGTGCTTAAAACCATGTAAATCATGCATTGCGCGGAAGCGCCGGCTCGTGGAAGAGACTGCCCACTGCCAAGCATTGACTGTGGCTTAACCGTTTTTAAGTGACCCAGCTTGAGTCCAAAAACAATGCATGTCCACAGGTAGGAGACCGAAAGTGGCTGAAGGGAAGCAGCGTGCATTCTGCAACTGGCCATGGTGAACATGTTTTCCTCTCCCTCCTCAACGTACGGCCCAAGTACGTTGCCTCACTCAACCGCTCGGTTCTCAAGCAGTCAAACTAACAATATTAACTTCCTTTTGCTGAAAATCCCCCTGGAAAAAACACGAATATTTCCAGTGATAGATTCCCTTTAAAACCAGCAAGGACAAATAACAACATGTTCATTTCAGCAAATGGATGATGTTCAAACCAACCACCAACCATTCTTTCCAGGGATCCTTCTTTTGAGAACAGCAGAATCCAAGAAAAAAACGCGATCGGTTGTTGAAAAGAACGATGGCTGAAAAGAATGGGTAATCAACCCCTAGAAAGCCTTAAGCAAATGGATGTTAAGGGAAAGACTGCCAACACATCATCCTGGCTAAGTGGGCACCAAAAGCCGCGAACAGAAACCGCACAGGCAAGTACATGGGGTCCTGCAGATTGTTGCAAGGCCTCAACAAAACAAACGAACAAACAAAGCAAACACACTAAACAAAAACACAAAAACAAAGCAAACAAACAAAACATTAAAAAAAGGAAAAAACATCAGAAAAACAAAAAACACAAACAAACAACCCACCAACCAAACAAAGAAACAAACAAACAAACAAACAAACAAACAAACAAACAAACAAACAAACAAACAAACAAACAAACAAACAAACAAACAAACAAACACAACAACAACGAACAACCAAACAAACACACAAAGAAACAAACAAACACACACAAAAAGCAAGCAAGCAAGCAAGCAAGCACGCACGCACGCACGCACGCACGCACGCACGCACGCACGCACGCACGCACGCACGCACGCACGCAGCAAGCAAGCAAGCAAGCAAGCAAGCAAGCAAGCAAGCAAGCAAGCAAGCAAGCAAGCAAGCAAGCAAGCAAGCAAGCAAGCAAGCAAGCAAGCAAGCAAGCAAGCAAGCAAGCAAGCAAGCAAGCAAGCAAGCAAGCAAGCAAGCAAGCAAGCAAGCAAGCAAGCAAGCAAACACACAAACATCAAAACCGAGCAACTCAACGACATGACCTTACTTGGTTCAAACACAAACAAATTTCTAACAACCAAACCCAAGCCAGAGTTCATTATTATCTGATTTAAAGAGCAAATATATGACGCATGGGTGAGTTTACTTGCATACGTCATTTGCGCTGCCTGGATTGTCAGTCTAATTCTGTTTGCGAGTGTTCATACTCCATTCAGGGAATACGTTCTTTTTTTGGCGAGTCCTCCATCAAAGAATCAAAGGGCGGGGAAAAACAAAAAACAGTTGCCATGAATTAACACATGTCAAACCTGCACAAAGCGGTGGAACCAATTCAATGGCACGCTGAATGGAACCAAGGGGCTGCTTCAACATGGACAGTTCTTGGTTTGGGCAACGCTTGTCGTCCCCACTCTACCAAGCGATAGATGCCAAAACGGCCGGGTCTTACACACGTCCCACACACTGTGTGCAAGTATTTGACAAATGGCAAACCTCCTGCCAGCGGGGGAACAAAAGAGAGCCCTTGCTTTCTGTTGTTTGAGTTTGAATGGAGACCCACCAATTTTGGGGTGATTTCTGAGGAAGGTCAGAGGGCTAAGACCCACCTTCATGTCGAGCCCTAAGCCGGCCAGCACCCGTCTCGTTGTTGTTTTCCGCCGCTTTTGGTGCGACCGCATTCTTCTTGCAGCCGTTTTTTTTGGTTTTCCGCCGTTTTTTGGTGCGAAGGCCATTTGTCTTGTTGGCTGCCCCAGGCGCAAATGCAGGCCGCGGCCAGCACCAGCTTGGTGATCATGGGCGGCACCAGGTTGTAGCGCTGCTGGTCCGCGGCGATCACCTAGCCGTTTCTGAAAGGAACCGGAGGCTCGGAACTTGGGGTGGGGTTGGGGTGGATGGGGTGGATGGGGTGGATGGGGTGGAGTTGGGGTTGAGTTGGGGTGGAGCAGTTGTTTGGGAGTTGAGGCGGGAATTGGGGTTCAGCTTGGGCTTGAAATTTGGTTGCTGGCGTTTGACCGACCCCTCTGCAAAAACGTGTTCAACTTGTGGCTCCAATACAGAAATCCGACCAACGCTTTCAGCCCCAAAGCGTCCAAGTCCAAAGATCCGCTACCAAACCGCCATAAAGATTACTTGCGGATACCAAACAAACCCCCCCGATCTGCGGTTTGACCTCCTGTTAACGGGGGCCAAAGTAAAGGAAACCCGTGTCCCGCTCCCGAAGCCTCCGTTGTTCAGTGACCCTGGGAACAAAAAGGGCACCCTTTTTGGGGCGTGGACCGATTTTATTGTGGGGCAGCCACCCCAAAACAAAAAGTAGTTGGAAAAGGAAGAAGAATTGGTGCCACTGAAGAACTGAGAGGCTGAACCAGTCAATTGCCATGCCCGAAAGGACCAGCTGAGAGAAGTGAAGTAGTCTTCCATTTGCTTTTGCGCCCCCTGGAAAAAGAAAAAAATCAACATGCTTTTTGTTTAAACAAATCCGGTAGGGATAGATGTCCTTTAAAACCAGCAAGGGGAAATAACAAATGCTCTTAAGCCAATGGATGTAGTCTAAAAGGGTACCCCCAAAGAGAGCGTCCCTTCCTTTTTGAGGCTTGACTTAACAGAATCTGGGTCTTGATAGCTTTGAGAAACGCTCCGTAGCAGAAGTCGAGTCCTCACCCCAAAACCAAAACCAGCAGGCTTCCTCAAAAACAACACACACACACACACCAAGCTGTGTCAAATCAAGGGAAAGCCTATGCCGAAGGAACCGTCACATTGGAAGCCAGGGTGAAACAGGTTTCTACATATATATATATATATGGTACCCCCCCCCATGGACCCTGGTTTGGTGCGGTTGACCTGTATTTTCCAGTGCTTTATGCTTCTTTTTGCTTCTTGGATTTGTGTCAAAATTGGGGGGAGGGTCATACATGTATATGATACGCATGCATGCATTCAGATGTGATAAAAGAAACGACATCAGCACCTGCAATCTGAAAGAGTTTGAATGCATCCAAGAATACAAGAACAACTCAGACATTTTTAACAATTATTAAAAATTATGGGATTCAAGATTCAAGATTCAAGAATGTGAGAAAATATGTTCTGGGAATCTTGAATCTTGAATCTTGAATCCCAGAATTGTTTAAAAGCTTTTAACAAATTATGGATTCAAGATTCAAGATTCAAAAATCTGAGAAAATACTTTCTGGGAATCTTGAATCTTGAATCTTGAATCCCATAATTTTTAAAAAGTTTTAACAATTCCAGGGTTGTCCCAATACTCTCGGTGTTCAATAAGATTCTCGGAAAAGTTTTCCGTGAAATATTTCAATCAGTGGTAACGGATGTTCGAGGTGATAGAACAACTTGAACATTTTAGGGGTTGACCAGGATGGATGATTCTCAGGAAAGTGGTGGTTTGTGGGCTCCTCAATATTGAATCCCCAATCCAGTGGTAAAGCACTTTCAAGTGTTAGAAGAACTTGAATGCTATTTGGGTTTGGCCAGGATTGACAATTCTCAGGAAAGTTTTCTGTGTAATCGTCAATCTTGAATCTTCCATCCGATAGTAGCAAATTTTCAAGTGCTTAGCGATCCAGTGGACACACTTTCAAGTTATTGGTTAGACAAACTTTCAAGTGCTTTTGGTGAGCTTCATGTCAGCTATGCTCATGTTGACCCCTTTCCAGGAGGTAAACAAAGGCAGGTGTAACTCTCAAAAATACTTTATTTTCCAGTATTTTATGAGGAGGCGCAGGATCATTGGGGGTACTATATATGTGTGTATGTATGTGTATATATAGATATACATATTAATATGTATGTACGTTCACACACCGTCCCCCACCCTCTTGAACTACCTGTCCACATTTGCTCATCTACTACCTCCACCTTTTGAGATAGAATCAACTTTCCTGCGCAGATAGAACTTTAAATACAACGGTTTAGCTAGAATCCCTGTTTCGAGATAGTTTTAGATTTTGAACCTCTCTTCCCTTGAAATTTCCCTTTGGAACACCGTCTAACAAGTTCAATGTCGGACCTTTCTTATGCTACAAAAGGGCCATAATGTAAATAACACAAATCCTATTTTGAATTTCCAAATGTTGAGCCATATTCAATATGAATTATATTTGAGATGTAGTCTCTATTCACTTGATATTATCAAAAGCAAATTGAGTTGTGTTCGTCTTAGATTATATTTACCACTTGGATAATATTTGGGAAACAACTTCCATCTAACTTCTTGTGTTATAGATTAGTTGGAGTTTAGCCGTATATTTACATTTTCATGCAGCTGCTATTTGAAAAGGATTTGCTTGTTTAAGCTGTAATTGAACATAAACACATTGTTGAAAACTATATCCATACTAAACTATATTCACAATTCCAATTCTAGTTGAAGTAACATCTTATTTGGAAAGGGTATCATACTGGGACATTGTGGAGGACTCCGGGCTCCAAATTATCACGCTTTGGGGACCCACAATTGGACATTTCGAGAATATAAATTTGGAAATTCTAGATTTGCCATCCCCAAAAGGCAGTAAAACCAGGGTCCATGGGGGGGGGGGTTGCATATATATATATATATATACCATCTCACCTTCCGAAAGGAATCCGGCCAAACAACTTCAACTTGGCGCTTCCCATGCAAATGGTTGAAGCTGAAAGTCAGGTAAACCGGATGGTGCGCATGGTCTCAGTAGGCATTGTGTGCTGCTTAGTTCAATCTGTTTTGAGGACGGATCAACATTGCTCAGCCCAATCATGACTTGACCACGCATGTCTGATTCCAAAAGTCATAATTTCAAGCCATTGGCCAAAGAAGAAGCCTCGGCAAGTAAGACATACATGTTTGTCCTTTTAAAACCCGTACAAAGCGGTCGGTTTTTCCTTCTCCTTTTGGTTTCGCTTGAACACCAAGAAAAGGGCGGAAGTACTGAAGTACCCTCAAACAAAAACACGCCACCAGACACGTTTTTTTTTCAAATCCGTCGTCCCGCGCCAAACTCCGCAAAGGGTTTGACTGAACTAGCCTAGACAACCTAAACTGATCCGGCCTCTTTGAGTGACATATTTGCTGTACTTTAGGCCCTGCCCTCAGATCCCATGCTAAAGTTTAACTTGTCGCTAAACCCTATTCAAACAGATCTAGAGACCTGTCCGGAACTGGATGGCTGGTTGAGCCTTCAACATCAAAGGAATGGCATTGTGTCCAAAGCTGGCATGACCCAATCTTCACAACCCTTGGTATGGGCGTGCAAAAATTGACTGTTTTTGGAAGTCCCCCACTATACATGAACTGAACCAAAACGCAGATTGTTTTTTTTCTTAAACGATAACATTAAAACAAACAACACAAAACAAAAAGCTTGATACAAGAACAGTGAAGCAAGGGTTCAACCTCAAGAGTTCCACTCCCAGCCATACCCCCTCCAGTCCTCAATGGCCCTATCGAAGCACTGCTCCTCAAAAACCCGATTGAGACAGAACCACCTGGTTTATGGGTTAGGCCTGGGGAAAAGGCTCGGGCTTAGAGTGCTGAGTGTCTGGGCTTGCGTAGGTTTGAATGCTCAAACCCCGAGAGATCTCTTTCTTTTTCGCATTCGCTCAAATCCTTCGGCTTGAACCTTGGCCCCTGAAAAGGGAAACGGGAGAACAAACATCAAGGCTCTACCTTCGTGGCTTGGTCCTCTTTCCGAACCGCACAGCTTCCATTTGCTTTTTCGAACCCTGGAGAAAATAACCAAAAAACATATTATGCAGTAGTGAAATCGATTCCCTTTAAACCAACAAGGGAAACTTAAAGCACATCTTGTGAAAATCGAAGCCATCCCTCTCTGCCAAGAACTTAGGGGCGCATGCGTGCACCATGTGCCCTGTGGAAATGGGACCTGGCCAAAGGCCTCGAAGCCAGGAGTCCAAGCCTTAGGCCATAGGAACCCAGATAGGCAGTAGAGAGGTCAGAATAAGGGGACCCTTTTTCCGGTAGTCTACTTTAGTAGCGGAACCCTCCCCAAAAAAAGGGGAAAAGGGCACTACAGGGGGACCCAGATAGTGGAAAAGGACACTTCACATATACTTGGTTGACGTTGGAAGGGGAGCAAAAGAATAAATTTTAGCAGCTAAGTGGGGATTTCCCACTAAACTGCTAAGAAAAATGTAAAATGTTTCCCAACGACAACCATCTATATGGGTCAATATTAAAACACCAGACAGCAGGTTCCAGTCCTTTCCATTTACCAGGGCAAACCATTTTGGGGTTAGATTATGTTGACCCACAGCCATAACACCTCTGAGCCTCTCTAAGCATGTACCCTTACGAGTCCCCTGTCCAGGGCTGTGTTTTCCATCTCGGTGAAAGCCAATGGAGGCGACCGTTCAAACAAAAAACAAGGAACGGGCGCGGGATTTCCAGGATATCTCCTCTTCCCTGCCTGCCATATTTAGGGCTTCCACCGTACTTTGTACGACCAAATTAAGCTAGGGGGAAAAACATGTTCGATTTTCTCCGGCCCCGTTGGGGGTACTCTGTTCAACCAGCACACCACAAAACCATGATACATTGCGGTAGATCAATTAAGCCCCTCACGTAACTCGACAGCGGCGACGGCGATGCTCTGTGATAAACTGAAAGGGGCGAGGCTCCCATGCGAAACCCACCAGGATGGAGAAGCCTCCGATGACCTGACACAGAACAGGAGTCAGGGCACATTTGATCAGCCGAGAGGGTTGGACAAGAGAGATCCTGAAATTGAACCCCTCCATCAAGTGGAGCAAGACATACAAGAGTACAGATCTGCATTCAAAGATTCTGGTATATATGTACCTCCATGTGCGCAAGCCGCCTTGAAAACAACGAACAATATGTCCAGTAGTGATCAAAACCAACAAGGGAAAATCAAACATATTCATTTCAGCAAATGGAAGTCTATAGGCTTCATGTCATGGCTGCATCATATGCTTCCCCAAAAAGGGAACCCCCACCAACAGGGAGGCTACCAATGCCATTAGAAAGGTTAGGATAAGGGTACCCGATTGTTTTTCTGTAGTCTATTTTAGTAGGGGAACCCTCCCCAAAAAACAGGTAAAAGAGCACTACTGGGCGACCTAGATGCTATATGTCAATGTATCAACGTTAGGGAACCCAATGCATGCCCAAAATTTTGAAACCCCAATCGTTGGGAGGGGCGACAGGGTCCCCAAGCTGGTTCTACGATGCGTGGCTTCATAACTCCGAGCAAAGAGCAAGCCAGGACTCTCCACGCGCCCCTGGTTGTACTGAAATGGGTTTGAATTTCAATAGGGAACCACCGAAAAAGTGGGAGGTGGTTGGTCCATTGGTGGATACATCCCCACCTAAATGATCTGCACCAAAGGGTCCCTCATTCAAAATCATGCAGGGCCTTGCGGGAAAGGACGTGACTTTGCCCTCTGTCGCACCCTAAGAACAAACTGACCTCGGTTCAAGCAGGGCACCGCCCCTTCAAAAAAAATCCGCCGAAAAGGCTTGGGTTACCTTTCTCAAGGATTGACCTCTGGAGACCACCTGACATGTTGTCTCCAGTTGCCTTTCGCGGATGGAACAGGTCCCTCTGATCCCGGAACCGATCTAAGTGATTCGTTCGGTCCATTCAGTCGTGGATCCTTCAAAAGGAAGCATCGAATCAAACAGGAACGCGTAAAGCGATGCGTAAAGCCACCAAAAACCATCCAATCTAGTTGGTCCCCTTTCAAGGGATACATGGCTTCTCAAGAATCTGGCAACCCCCAACAAATGGCAAAGGCAAAACCCATTGGTGCTTTAAAAATGGCTTAATTCAAATTCAAGGCAACCCATTAGTCATGGCTTTAATGAACATCTCCAAATTCAAAGCCATGTAACTTTAACTTTTAGTGCTTTAATGCAACACCCATTCGTCGGCAAAAAGCTAAAGTCCTAACATCCTTTGGCAAAATGCACCAAAGTGTTGGTTCCCCTGTAAAATCCACCCCAAACCCTCGCCTCGCCCGGAAAATTTATCACCCCCAAAATCGCTCCCTCGGCGGCCCGCGCGGAGCGGCGCCTGGATGATGGCGTGATCCACTTCGTCGCCCGTGGCGTCCAGATCCGCGAGCTTATCGAGGACCTGCTGCTTCCATTTGCTTAAGCCCCCTGAAAAAAGTAAGCATAATTCCAGTAGTGATAGATTCCTTTTAAAACCAGCAAGGGAAAATGAAACATGTTCGTTTCAGCAAATGGATGATGTTCAAACCAACCACCAACCATTCTTTCCAGGGATCCTTCTTTTCAGAACATCAGAATCCAAGAAAAAAACAGCGATCGGTTTTTGAAAAGAACAATGGTTGAAAAGAATGGGTAATCAACCCCTAGAAAGCCCTCTGAATCACGCAGCAAACACCGGGCCGAAATGGCGTGATCAGTGCTGCAAGGCCTTTCCTTGCTGCTGGTTAAAAGATGGCAGGGAATGAGAAATGGAATCGAAAAACCAAAAACATCCGATTTTGACCTGGGAACTAAAGAACCACTCGATTTGACGCTCTAAATGGGTGGTTTGAAGGGAAACCACACCAAAAAGTAATGCGGACAAGCGCAAAACATGCTCACTTCCAGGCGCCGAGATGTTGCGCTGCGAAAATACCCAGGGGTGAAATTCAGCAAAGACTGCAACGGCTTTGACGCCCACGTTGGGTGCCGTTGTCCAAGCTCAAACGGCATAGCCCAGAAGCCGGCCGAGCGTTGAAAGGAAGTGTCTTTGGGGCTCAATAATGGTGACTTTGACAACAAACGCACGCAAAACAAACAACAAACAACTCTGGCACGAATCGAAGTCTGGAGAGAGGCTAGCAAGTTTTGAGGAAGAGCCTGGTGAGGGTACTCAACGCACTGAACAATGGCGGTGAATTGGAAAGAGCCTTGTAGGCTAATTGATTCCATTCAATTCCACAGTCCATTCGCTTTCTAGCTGAATAACAAATCCACGTTCGAGTCCTGATACGTCCTCCTCACCTGTCTGACAAAGGGACCTTTGGCCTGAGAGACGCGCGTGAGCTGGCTGTAATTTGCTGTTCTCAAGTGGAGGAACCGCCAAAACCCATGATAGAGGAAAACCACAAAGGGCACCCCCAGACAGTAAAGTCTAAACTAGGCTCTCTAGGTTAGAACAAGGGTACCAACTTCTCTCTGTAGACTATTTTAGTAGGGGAGCCCTCCCCCCAAAAAAGGGGAGAGGAGGGCACCAATTGCTGGGAGACCTCGTAGACCTAAAGGCACTTCCCGGTCTTTCCGGTCCCAGCGGCCCAGATGGCGAAGAAAGCCAGCAGGGACACCAAGGTGGCGAGCTCCAGCTGCAGCAGCATCTTGTCCTCGAAACGAAGACTTCCAACCAAAACGGCCGGTTTTGGATCCGGCTCTTCAAGGAATATCCAAAGCAATTAAGCCTTGCCCACTAAAGGCTGTGCCTCTAACCGCAAGCCTCCATGCAAACATTGAATCATCGTCATACTTGGCCTTTTCCGCGACGCCAATGCCCGAGATTTGGAGATCGCCCGACCATATAGATGTCGCTAGGTGAGAATTGTCCGATTCACTTGGACCGTACTAGTCAGGGTACTTGGGTCCTCTGACTAAGGTTCTCCAGACTGATCTGATGTCAACATTTGTGTGCAGCACCTGTGCTAAACATGTGCTCTGCATCCGCACAATACTCTTGCCGTAGTGCACCAGTTCCCTTGTTTCGTACTTGTTTGCCGGGCGACATGTCCAGCAAGAATCTGGGAAACAACAGCAATGACTGAACGTGATGGTCGCCGCGACGCAGGACGGGTAAGCTATAGGTTTGTTTTGGGCCGGCTTAAGGAAGCCAGAACCCCAACTAGTTGGGACTGAATTCTTGTACTGGCACCCGCAGATTCAGAAACCCCCGGGCAAACAACAGGGGCCCTGTTTCTCTGGAGCGAACACCGAGGTAGTTTTCTTTTGGATGATTCCTTTTCCATTCTGTTCAACCATCGTTCTAATGCCAAAAACCGGAGCCGTCTTGCCCGGGTTTCCGCAGGTTTCTCTAGAAAGATTCGGATCCCTGGGTTTAAAATGGGGGAGGTACCCCTGGACTTGTCTTTGGCCCTGCACACCTACTAGGATGCAAAACCTGGACGAGTGGAATGGACTACTCAGAGTGCCTGAGTGGACTGGCCAAAAGAAGCGTGTACTTTTGTATTTACCACTAAACAATGGTCTTTCCAAAAAGTTTAAAGCCCATATACTCAGGGAGTGAGGACCGTCCAACAACTCCTTACAGCAGTTCCAAGTGGATAGTCATCTTGCTGAACCTCAAACTGGCACAGATCCGGATCCCTGGAAAGAATGGGGGAGGTACCCCCTGGTCGTTTCCCCCGATTGCCATTAGGCTGGCTTCCGCTCCTCTGAGGCGTCTTGGAACTCGCGGGTGGCCAGCATCCACTTGCAGCCGAAGTACATGCCTTTCGTCAACCACTCGTGGGATCGGATCGGATCCATTCTTCGGGAGAAAAAAGCGGTTGTTTTCTTCTTTTTCTTTGGGGGGGGAGGGCACCCCCAAAATTAAGACACGTTCATTGGTTCATGATTGATTGGATGCTGAGTGCTTGGGTAATTCATGTGTTGGTTCACCGGTGGCTTGACTTCTTGGCCGCTTGATTTATGGACTGATTGACTGATTAACTGGTTGAGTTGGCTTGTTGACTGACTGACTGACAAGCTTACTAAACTGACTGACTGACTCACTGACGGACGGACGGACGGATGGACTGACTGACTGGCAGACGAAGCGAGGCGAACGAGCGAGTGACTAATCTTGGCTGGAATTAGGACCCCAGCAAAAAAATATTTTTTTTGCTGGGTTAGTGGAAAACAAAGGGGACCCCAAAAAACCCAAAAGTAAAAAGGGGAGCTAATTCTGGGGAAGAAATAATGACCAAATAACTCTCATTCCAGCCTAAAGAAAGCAAACATGTTTTTGCGCTAGGGTAATTACCCGTTTTGGGTGGCATTTGAAGGGAAACCAAAGGCAAAGCAACCCACCCCAGCTTGACATGGGAGTCTCAACGCTGATGCTTGTAGCCTGGAAGATATCGTATAACGTTTCGGGTTTACGTGACAACTTGACCCCTCTGCACCCACGGCTTGCAGGAGGGCCAATCGATGGCCGTGATCCTCTCCGGAAAACTTAAGCAGGGTGTGATGACATGCGATGGCTTGCTTGCCTTGCACAAAAAGAAAACAAAAAAGACGATCAGACCCGCAGGGGAAAAACAAGGTCTGACTTTGTCCTGGAGTAGTATCCACCCCTACAAAAACGGGTCACCCAAAAATCTCACTTGCTGAGTGAATGGCCCAAAAGAAGTCCAAGCTTGATGGTTGCCACTAACATGGCCTTCCCAACAAGTTTAAGTCCAGGAACTCAGGAAGTGAGAAATGAAAGGGGTCAATGAGAAACAAGGGTTGTTGGAAAACCATAAAATAACACGTCAAAGGTCACTGGGCTGTCCGTTTCAGATCCCTGCTAAAAATCCTTGTCTGGCCAGACGTCCAAGGTCCCACCAAATCCCCTGCACCCCTTGCAGTGTCCGTTTAAACCCAACCACTGAATCAACTAAAAATAACTAAACACCTAACCAGATGGCTGGGAACCACCAACGTTAGAGATCCAAGCAAGCCAATCAACAGCCCGTTCGCCCCCTTGCTTCAGGCCGAGCTGCACCAAGCAAAGGCTTGATTGCAGGAGGCCCTCGGTGCAGGCGAAGAAGTAAATCCGGAGAAAAAACAAAAAACAAAAAAAAAACACAAAGGAGGTTCTACCAACAAACAACCAGTTGGTGTTTGAGGAATTCGATTTCACTACTGGAAACATCTGGAAATACTTGCCCATTTCTTCCAGTGAAGCAAACCTGAAGTCGGGGAAGCCGTAGAAATCCCCTCGCACCACTTAAACGCGTGTTGATTGTTCATTTCAAGGTGTCTTTGCTGGTGAAGGATTTCGTCCATCCACAGTAGATGTGGGTGTGGGGCAAAAAAAGGCATCCAAAATGGGTTGCCCTGGTAAATGGAAACGAGGACTAACACCTGCGGTCCCCGGTGGTATAGTTTTGACCAACCAACCCATAGAATAGGGGTTCATATCAGGGTTCATATTACTCTTGTCCAATCCTGGAAGTGGACGTTCCAGCTGTCAGCTTCCATGAATCATAGACTCGTTCTGAGGGGGGGGGGGCAAGGGGGGTTACTGCAGAATCTTGGGCACGAGGGTTGGGGTGTTTTTTTTTTGACTAGCCCTGGTTTTTGGCTAACCCTGGTTCCAGGCACTGGCACTATGGGCAAAGTTTTACTCTGCGTCTTTGGCTCTTTCCTTTGCGACAAACAATTAAAAAAAAACAGAGCAGGGGGGTTGGGGGGGGGATGCTGTCAAAAATTAAACTAAAAAGTAGCGGGGGGGTTGGGGGGGGCGGCAGCCCCCCCCATGATGTTCGAAGAATTGATGATTCAACGGGTGCAATTAATTAATTCTCTGTAGAAAATCTAAAACGTAGCGGGGGGGTTGGGGAGGGCGGCAGCCCCCCCATGATGTTGGAAGAAGTGATGATTAGACATACACGGACTACACAGATTACCTAAAATGTCGTATTTTGCAGCATTTTCTCGCGAAATTGGACGCTCGAAAAAGTGATGATTCAAACAGGGGTGCAATTCAATCTCTGCCGGGCCAGTAAAGTGTCGTATTTTACAGCATGTTCTCGCGAAATTGACGCATTTTACACTAGCCCGTCAACATCCCCCGCATGTCCCACCAACATCCCTAGCATCACCCACAAATCGTGTGACGGGGTCAAAGAAATGATGATTCAAGTAGGAGGGCATGTCAATCCCTGTAAAACAAAAGTAGCGGGGGGGTTGGGGGGGGCGGCAGCCCCCCCCACGATGTTGTTTGCAGAAGTGATGATTTGAATAGGGTGCAAATTAAATCTCTGCAAAAAGTCTAAAAAGTAGCGGGGGGGTTGGGGGGGGCGGCAGCCCCCCCCATGATGTTCGAAGAATTGATGATTCAACTAGGGGTGCAACTAATTAAATCTCTGCAGAAAATCTAAAACGTAGCGGGGGGGTTGGGGGGGGCGGCAGCCCCCCCTATGATGTCGGAAAAACGCCACCTGCCGAAGAGGAACTGCGAAAAGCCAAAAAGCCACCATAAGCTGCATAAACCAGCAAAAAGCCGAAAAGCCTAGAAGCCCAGAAGCCGAGAAGCCAAGAAGCCGAAAAGCCAAGAAGCCAAGAAGCCAAGAAGCCCAGAAGCCCAGAAGCCCAGAAGCCGAGAAGCCAAGAAGACGAAAAGCCAAGAAGCCAAGAAGCCGAGAAGCCAAGAAGCCGAGAAGCCAAGAAGCCACGAAGCCAGGAAGCCAGGAAGCCAAGAAGCCAAGAAGCCAAGAAGACAAGAAGCCAAAAGCGAAAAACAATCCCAAAAAAAAACGAAAAAAACCTAAAATAAATACCCCTCCTCCTTTTTCTGAAACCCCCAGCCAACGAACCACCCAACCACCCAACCAACCACCCAACCAACCAACCAACCAAACCCGCTCACCCAGCCAACCAGCCGACCAACCCAGCCAACCAGCCAACCAGCCCCGCTCACCCAGCCAACCAGCCGACCAGCCGACCAGCCCAGCCAACCAACCAACCAACCAACCAACCCAGCCAACCCAACCAACCCAGCCCAAGCCAACCGACCAACCAACCAAGCCAACCAACCAACCAACCAACCAACCAACCAACCAGCAACCAACCAACCCAACCAACCAACCAACCAGCAACCCAACATAACCAACCAACCAACCAGCCAATCGATAAATTCGCTCACTCCAGCCAACCAGCCGACCAGCCCCGCTCACCCAGCCAACCAGCCGACCAGCCGACCAGCCCAGCCAACCAACCAGCAACCCAGCCAGCCAGCCAACCAACCAACCAACCCACCCAACCAACCCAACCAACCCACCAACCAACCCACCCACCCACCAACCAACCAACCCAACCAACCAACCCAACCCAACCAACCCAACCAACCAACCAACCAACCACAACCAACCAACCAACCAACCAACCAACCCAGCTCAACCAACCAACCAAATCCAACGCCAGCAACCAACCAACCAACCAACCAACCAACCAACCAACCAACCAACCAACTAACCAACCAACCAACCAACCAACCAACCAACCAACCAGGGTTTAGGGCCAACCAGGGTTGGGGCCAACCAGGGCTAAGCAAAAAAAAAACACACTACCCAGGCACGAGCGTATCCCCAAAAAGTCCTCTGCCCTATTCTCTCAAGCACATCTTAATCGGGTTGTCAAAACGCATTCCTGAGGAGTCCCTGCCAATCCCCAAAAAACAATCAACAGGGTTGCCTAAATCGTTTTTCCGGGTTGCCAAAACGCATCCCTGAGAAATCCCTGCCAATCCCCTAACAACCAAGAAAAGGATTGCCTAAATGCGTTTTTCGGGTTGCCCAAACGCATCCCTGAGAAATCTGCCAATCCCCCAAACCAAGAAAAGGGGTGCCCAACGTAGGCTGCTCAAGTGGGTTGCCGAAAAAGCATCTGGCCAAAATGTACGTTCCGGAACGTAAGTTTTTTTTTTTAAACGTGCGTTCTGAACGTGAAAACGTACGTTTGGAACAGCTAAGACGACCGGGCCACTGAGTGGCTTTATGGCGAAGCCCTTTGGTAACCCGCCCCGCATGAAGGCCATCATAAACAAGATCTCATGCCCCCCCCCCCCCCCCCCTCAGTACGAGTCCATGAATGATTGTTGGAGGGCACTTCCCAAGAAGTCCCATGCTGGCTGGGTTTGAACAAAAATTATCAATGGTCGGGTCAATATTTCGAATGTGCTGCCTGTCAGTGGAATACCCACAGTATGTCAAGCACTTGGCAAATCCAAGCTGCAGGCCCATAACAAAACATCACGTAGCGGCCTTCTTTTATCACTAAGTGCCTGAAAAAATGGCCTTGAATTGGTGGCCCAAAACAAAACTCACGCAGCGGCCTTCTTTTAAATTGCATGCTCCACCTGGCTAGGAAATGTCACAAGCTTCTCTGAAGGGGTCAATTGCAGAATGCCGCGGGCTTCAACAATGAATGCCGCCTTAAGCGCTCGCTTTCCCTTCAAATGTTCGGCCCGCGCACTCGACTGGCATACCATCCAACTGTTTGAACCACGTCTCACCATCCTCCTGACCGGACGCGGGAAGCCAAGATGCCACCAGTCAGAGTGGAAAAGTCCAGCTGACTTTTGGCATTTGGCGTGGGATCAAAATGAAACAGCTGGGGTTTCGCAGGTTTGAGTCCACCTGTCCATTTGCAAGGGCAACCCATTTTTGGACCTCTATTCTTGACCCATATCCCACTTTGCCGGCCGACCGAAATGCCGGCGAAAAAGTGGCGCATAGGGGCCATCATCCGGGGTTCCCGGCAGCATCACCTGCACTGCCCGAGGCTCTTCGCTTCGCTTCCCTCCTCATCATCTGGATCCAGCTGATATCCTGGCTCTGGTTGGACTACCAATACGTCTGGCTTTCCAAATTGGCATATCCTGCATGATTTCATGTGGCCGTGTCTGCCGCAAAAGGTAAAAAAGATGCCTTCGCCGGTCGAGTCAGGCGGCTGAACATTTGACCCAGTGTTGGCCACGTGGCATGGTCCAAGAGAACCGCGCCTGCGATCATGTCCAGCACTACGGTCAAAATGCAAAGGACGGCTCCTGCCTGAGCAAATGCAACGACCTCCGTTCTGATGTCTATACCAAGCCCAAGCAGGGCGAAACACCTGCCGGTAGTCAAGACGGCCTGTAAGCCTTGAAAGCTCAAACACCCCAGATCACAAGCCTCTACAGGATGTGGCAACTGGGCTGCCCTCAGATCCCCCCCCCCGAAAAATGTGACTAACTTTTAGTGGCTGAAATGGAAACTACCACTAAACACTAAAAGGCAGAAAAAGCCAAGGAAACGGATGGCTGTGAGCCCCCAAGACAAGTAAGACGACAGGTCTGGCAAAATGAGAGGGCAACGACTGGCGGGGCACCGCCGGTTCTGTCAGGCAAGGCTGGAGGAGCCGTGTCTCACTTCCGATCGAGTAGCTTGTTCAACAAGAAGTAGCCAAACTTTTGCAGGGGAAGCCTCCAAAAAGGGTAAGAGGGCACTTCTGGGGGACCTAGTCTATGTACTCAAGTGCCTCACTTCCGATCGAGTGGATTAAAAAAAGATCCAAACTTCTTATTTAACCATGGTCCAAACCCACCACAAAGCAAAAAGGAACTCAGGAAGTGAGCTTTTAGATCATTGCATTGATCTCATTTACAACACAACTCGACAGGGAGTGGCATCATCAGATTTAGCCAGAAGCCTGTCAAACAGCAAGTGCATCATGATGTTGACCTCTCATTACTCGGGGAGAGTTACCTCCAAAAGCGATGAATCTGAACCAAAGAGAACAACGCCCTGTGAGCCCGCTGACCCGAGCATTGTGTTGCTTGGGGCAACCCCCTATGAATCAACCATACCCATGGGGCTTTTAGGACGCTGTGAGGACACCTCGCATGAATCGCGTCTGTGGGAAACGCCGCAACAAAGCAGCACGTATGTACGTGGTTGTCCATGCTGAATGAAACCTACGAAGCATCTCTATATGGCAGTGGGTCAAAAAAAGGTACCAAAATGGATCCCTGGGAAATGGAACCATGGACTAAAACCTGCCGTCCCCTGGTTTGTGTTTTGACCCATATCCACATCTCACCAAAAAACGGCAAGCACACTGTGTAGTCTCCTTTGGCAGGTCCTTGGGTTGCATGTGAGCGGCCATTCAAAACTTGGTTGACGTTAAGTTGGGGAGCAACAAATTAAATTCCAGCAGTTAAGTGGTCGGATTTCCCACTAAACCACAATAAGCAAAAATGTAAAATGTTTCCCAACGACAACCTTGTTGGTGCCAAAATGGATATCAGGACTCATGCAGGCCTCACGATTCAACTATATTCCACTTTGAGTGGGTGGTAGCACCAAACGAATGGTCCCCCTTCAGGGATCACAGACTGGTACCCATATTTAGGGTCCCACCCCTTCCAGCGGCTTGACGGCACACCCAAACAGCTCCCCCAGTGGGGTCGCGATTGGCACCGGGTTTCAGCTGTCACGTGGCTGGATGTCAAATAAAGCAAGCACTTCGCACCACCCAAGGTTTTGTTTTGCCACTTTTGTGAGAAAATGGGCGACCCCCCAAAAAAGAAAAAAACAACTTCACCACCTCAGGGTCAAAAAACTTCACTCCCTCAGAAAGGTCGATCATTTTTCCAAAGGACTCGCAAAAAATAATTTCCCCCCTGGCACCACCCCGCCCCGTTTTTTGCGGCTCCTTGTGACCATGGGACTCTGACTCATCTTGCTGGCCAGCTGAGAAGCAACAAGCAGATCTTCGGAACACATGGCCCTTCAGTTCCCCCCGTTCCCCCTCCCCGAATTCCCCTTGCAATGCTGAACTGGGCTGGAAGTTTCGGACCGGCGAAAAAATAGAATTTATCGCTTTTGCCTGGCGAGTGTGGAAAACCAAGGGTTTTTCAAAAAAAGCGGGGAAAAAAAAAAAACAAAAAGGAAACAAAAAGGAAAAAAGGAACAAGAACAAAACAACACCAAAAAAAGGGGAGCTCATTCTGGGAAGTTAGGACCTAGCTCTTGAGTCCGGCCAGGAGGCTGGGAAGAGCGTCTCCACGTCCACCGGGGGCCGCGTGGTCTGCATCTCCCAACTCTCAAGGCCTTGGTCTGGCAGCAAAAACCTTTTTTTCTTCGCAGACCCCCAGTTCTCTATGAACAGAACCAACACACCAAGAAAACAAACAAGCACATGCCAAGAACAGTGAAGGTTGGGCGTCTGCAGTGTTTCACTTCCAGTTGCTTTCCGTCCCCGGAAGGAACAAAAAAAAAGAAAACAAGCATAATAATAATATATTTCCAGAGAGATAGAGTTCCTTTCAATTCGACGGGGTAAATCCAACAAACATATTTCCAGGGAGATATAGAGTTCCTTGAAACCGACAGGAATCCACAAGATTCTCCAGCAAATTGAAGTTCTCAAAATAGGACCCCCTTTGTTAGAAACCACTGGGAAACCACTCTCAACGAGTCCCTATTTTTCAGAAACACTCACACATGCTAACGGTTTCTGCAGGAATCACCATACTTTTTACCATGACACCAGGTCGCAGAATCACCTAAATGACGAGGGCAGCGGACGCTGCTCATAAATGGCTACCCTTTTCGAGATGGTGATAATGTAGGAGATAGCGATCAACAAGTCGGAAGAGGTAAATTACAAATCCTGAAACGAGCAGCAGAAGGAACGAAGATGTTCAGGAGTCTCTGATTGAGGACACCTAAAATGGGAAAAACCTTCGATTTGCTTAAAGGACCCCTGGAACAATATATGTATATATATATATATTCCAGCAGTTATAGATTCCCTTTAAACATAACAATATGTCCAGTAGCGATAGATTCCTTTTAAAACCAAGAAGTGACCCCCCAAAAAAAACAATAACAAAAAAACGGGAGACCGGCGTCCCGAGAAAACGCGAACGGCGTTGCCACGAACGGCTCCCGGGTTCGGATTTGATCGTCTCGACTCGTGGCCTTCCACATCGGGCAGCGTGCCGGAGATCCAGAAGCGAATGACCTGGACCTAGGCTCGTCCGTTTGATCCGCGAAAAGGGAAAAGGAACTCTAGGGGTCGATTGTCCGTTTTCAGACCCGCGAAAAGGGACAAAGAACTCTAGGGGTCGACGCCTGTTCCATTCCTTTCCACCATCCCTCTTCTCAAAAAACCAGCTGCTTCCCCAGGGCCTCTGGTGGCTTTTTGGACAGATCCGGCTGCCTGGAAAGAATGGAATTGGAAGGTGCCCTTAGAAGGACTGGAGGTGAAAAAATGCGGAAACCCAACTGAACCCTGACCGCGAAATCTCCGGGAATCGAACATTGGAGGACTTTGGGGGTCTCCTTTTCACTTGGCTGGAATTAGGACCCCAGCAAAAATTATATTTTTGCGTAGTAGGGAAAACAAAGAGGGCAAAAAGCAAAAAGGCAAAAAGGGGGAGCCTTTTTCTGGTTGGAAGTTCACTCATCCCAGGGTTTAAGCTGACGCGAGCTCTGAGCTCCTTAGCCTCACAAAGTCTTTCGCCCATGCCATCCAGACGAAGAGGTGTCCGGTGAAAATTGGCGGTAGCAAACGACAAAACCGAACGCTCTGTTCAACGATTTCATGGAAGAGGATTTCTCCAAAAGGAGAAATCATCGTCTTCCAAAACCCGCCGGTTCGTCGGCGGCTTCCGATTGTTGGAGGGAGTCCCATCCGTGTGGCGGGTGCCAGATGATTCTGATCCTGGAAACTGCGTGTGGAATGGCAAGCAACTCTGAGGAGCCTGCAGTATCCTGAAGCACTGTCAGAAAAGGATGCCGTGCGTCTAGCATCCAAAGGCGCCCAAACCGATTCCATCGGAATCAACACCGCATGCTAAGGCGGATGTGTTGCAACTTTCTCTGCCTGCCCTCCAAACGAACCTAACCGGAAGCCGAAACACCCCTTAGAAATGGGAACAAGTGCGCCATGCCGCTCAACATACTCCCCTCCAAATAAACTTGGTACCCAACCAACTATTGGTAGAGGAAGCTGCTTTTGGACATCGGATCCATTTTTTTTTGTTCCAGGTCAGTTTGCAGGGGGAGTATTCGTCCGCACGCGAGGCTCTCCACAAACCAGCTACAGTTACATGGGCGTGGCTCCAAAACTACGAGTCAGGGCAAGCCGCGGGTTTTAGTCTTTGGTTCCATTTGCCGAGGTGGCATTTTGGGGATTCCATTTTTTAAGCCACAGCCAAGGCTTGCAGCCTTTTGGACGTTAAGGGGTACCTTCCATTTGGTTTCGAGAGGGTTCAAATCCCCAAACCAATCCAAACCAATACGAAAAAAGCCGAGCTGTGGTAACATGGAAGTAAGAAGCTCAGGCATGCCCAGCCCAAAGCTCGGGACCCGAAGCCCCCAGCTCCCGAGCCTCTGGGCTTTCAGCTTGGGGAAAGATCACTGGCTGCTTGGAAGTCACCAAATCTTGGTTGACGTTGGGTTAGGGGAGCAAAAATTCTCAAAATTTAGCAGCTCAGTGGATTTGGATTTCAACCACTCAACTGCAATACGATCAAAATGTTTCAAATGTGTCCCAACGGACAACCATTGAATCCCATGCTGGGGCTGAGCGGCACTGAGAAAGGACAGGGTCAAGGCCAGCACGTTGTCCTCTGGCTCTTCCGCCTCCTCACGCCACATGATGTAGCACCTCGCACCAGAGAGAGAGAGAGCTCTCGAGAGAACAACTTATAATTCTTTGGGAAATCCATCCCCAGAACTATACGGGTGGGTGGTGTTTTGAGAATATTCTTTTTGGGATGATCTTAACAGGGAAGACAGAAGGAAAACCGAAGCCATTGTTGGGGTCCAAATCCCTATTTTGGCGAGCCATAGGTGTTTCTCTCAAATGCCCCCCTACGTAACTGGGTGTTTTTTTGGGGGGCGACCCGTTGCTCTTTTGGCTTGTCTTGAACATCACCAAAGAATATCAACTAAACAACAGACGCACCTTGTCACTTTAAAGGGGAGCTCCTTGGTAACACGTAGAAAGTGGAACCTAAAACTTGGATCTGGAAATCCATGCAGCCCCGTTTGGACGCGTGATTTCTCAAAGCGAAGCCAGCCGTCACAAAAAGTCCTCCTGCAAGAGGCGCTTGGGATCATTGGCGACCTTCAAAATGCACTAACAGCAAAACTTGCTGGCGCAATGGGCAGGGAATCACCGAGACCGGCTATTGGAACTGAACCGGAAGGGGATTCCCGAATAAAGGAAATCAGAGGGGGTGGAGTGTTCTCGGGGTCATTCCCTCATTCCCTGAGAACCAGCAGGAAAAAGGGTTGTAGGTTGTATGCAGTCCATTGCAGACCACCCTTGAGCTTTGCACAGTCTGAAGCCCGAATCATGTCGTCCTTACCTCAATGCATACACGCGCATTTATTCAGGTGTTAAAATGCCAATAACAGGTTGCTTCCTTTGACCCTTGTGCCATTGGCTCAGGAGATCAACCCAATCACTCCAGAAGTGCAACAGTTGTCACCTTTGTATCATGATGGACCTCTAAGGGGGGCTATGGGGAGGGGGGGCTATCGCGGCTATCCTATTAATCTCTGAATAAGGCCTTGTTGATGGCTTGTCCTTGGCTTATCCTGGGCTTATCCAGACGTAGTCCCCACCCATAAGCCCAATCAATCTTAGGGCAAACTGATTATGCGTGTTGCAGTTGTAGCCCTTTGTGAGAGCGGCATGTGATATCATGGACTCCTAGCCAAATCATGTACACACCCGTGGACGCACCCACACACCCACCCACACAGATGCGGACTGGCGTGGACATTGAGTGACGCCTACTCCATTTTAGGGGGTCTGCCCCGCCAGAGAATTCTGGACAAAAAACGTAAGGGGCCACGTTTGCAATGTCGGCCTGAGCCGAAGGCTCTAAAGCTTTGCTAAAAGTTTAGCTTCTAGTGGCTCAAACGGAAACCACCACCAAGCAAGAAAAAGCTAAAAACCTAAGGGGATGGCTGGAAACCACCAAGACGAAAATTAAAAGCTCGAACATCCTTGAAGGCTGCATAGCTGCGGCAACCTTTCCAGGATCGCTACATTCATCCATGAACTCGAGCAAGCCACTCCTCATAAACGTCCTCCATCCGGTCGTCATAGACGCTGGCGAAGGTTTTCCAGTCTTCAGCGACCCGTCCTCAAGCTGGCCAAACAAAAAAAATCTGGCACCAGGAAACGTTTGCACCTAGGAAACCCCCAACCTAGCGAATCTTCGATCAGAGCCTTGCCCCTGCTCAAGGCTGTGATTAGACAACGATCACTTACCGCGGAGGTGTTAAGACAAGGACAGTGCCTAGGTCGGCCAAGTTGGTAAGTTAGCGGTAACCTAGGTTCCAACCCTTTTGAAAGTCCCGCTAAGTGGGGTAAACCTGTTTGAAAGCGGGTTATACCCCAAATGGCCAACCACTTACTACCTTGGCGGAACATCCAAGACCGCTACGAAAAACTCAGCTTCCGGACAGAAGTGGAAAACCCGCTCGGCTCCGCTTCTCTCAGCTGGAACACATTTGGCTTAGATCGGCCAATGGAAAAAACGCCGATATTGACATACCAAACCCCACCATGGAAGTGCACAAACCCCCTCTCCAAGAGGTAGCCTTTCTACGGGGGCCTGAGCACTTCCACCACTTCCATATTCGTCGGTGGGGCGGCCACCCCCTGAAAGCGGAAATCGCCATGTGCAAATGCTCAGCCACATACGTGCCATAGCTCGGGTTTGCGAGCGCAGGGCCAGGCATGACTTTTCAACATCTGCATCACTATTTCCCTGGCTACCCAGCTTGCGTGGTCATGACTATGACACTACACTGGGGTCGTGTAATCTTGTAAGCCTCGTGTTGGCCAAACAAAACGGGAACGCAAATGATTTTGCATCGGGAACCCTTTGTCCTATCCACGATGATTCTTTGGCGGCGTTCCCCATGAAACTTCACATACAATGTGGGTATGTGCCAAAACAAGGGGGCCTATGTGAGTATGTGGTCCTGTTGGCTTCCCCATTCCCCAAAAAAAACCCTCGCAAAGAGGCACATCATGCCGCTTTCTTCCGTACGGTTTCGTCCACTGCCTCCGGATCATCTATGCGATCTTGAGGACTGCCCCCGTTGGCACAGGACTTAGGCGCCCCCCCCGGCATCTGATTCCTTCCCGGCCACCTGGCCCAAAAACCCCGTGGGCGCGGATCCAAGCCCGTGGGCGGGTGAAAAACCTAGGTCCAGACTTGAGAGGCTGGAATAAGTTGGTACCAACCCTTTTTTTCTCTGGTTGGTCTATTTTCGTAGGGGAACCGACTCTCCCAACCAAAAAAAGGGACCAAAAAGGAATTAGTGAGAAATCGGGCAGCTAGCTAGCTAGAAGACCTAGGACTGAGCGCAGTCCACTAAAAAAAATCCGCCGAGCCACGCCTTTCCTCGCTGAAGTACCTTAGAGACTTGGAGAACAAACTTTTTCCAGTGCCAAGGTACACACCCCTTTTTCCCCGACAAATGAACCGAAAAGGCCTGATACCATATCCTCTCCCCAAAAGGGGACATCTGAGTCTTAAGTTTGCAGTTTGAAGTAGTGCATCTGAGCAGAGAGTTGGAATCCAAAACGACAAGGGAATACAGACGTAAACCTCTAGGGCTTGATGCCTGATTCCCCATTCTTTTCAGCCATCCCCATTCTTTTCAGCCATCGTTCTTTTCAAAAACCGATCGCCATTTCCCCAGGGTTTTTGGTGGTTTTCTAGAAAGATCCGGATCCCTGCAAAGAATGAGAAAGTTACCCCTGGACTTTTGCTTGGCCCTGCACACCTATTAGGATGCAAAACCTGGACGAGTGGAAGGGACTACTCAGCGGTATGCCTGAGTGGACTGGCCAAAAGAAGCGTGTACTTGTGTATTTACCACTAAACAATGGTCTTTCCAAAAAGATTAAAGCCCATATACTCAGGGAGTGAGGACCGTCCAACAACTCCTTACAACAGTTCCAAGTGGATAGTCATCTTGCTGAACCTCAAACTGGCACAGCAAGATGATTGTATTCTCGACTCTCAGGACTCCTAACTTTACGCCGTGTGTTGGGAAACAAATGCAACACGTTTACCCTACCACCAATTAACATGCAACCTGAGAGGCGGGTTGTGGAACCATGTTCCTTTTGCGGTTTTGGGCGAACACGAAGTAGCCCAGGGAATCAAAGAGGTACACGTGATCCACGAAGTACCAAAAGAACCCAGTCCCAACGCACAATGGTGAAGTTGCTGATGACCAGGTTGTGGGAGTGACAGTTGAAGAAGATCAAGTTTGGGAGGGTTGGAAAACAGGTTACAACAGAAAGTGAAGTTCAGAACCAGGCCCAGGAAGTCCTCGACGACCAGCCACCCACCACCTAACACCGGCCGCGGCAGCACCAGGACCTTTTCCCGATGATGACGCAGGCCGCCGTGCTATGGCGGATGCACGCAAATCCGAGAGACCCCTGACGGGAGGTATAAACTTGAGCCAAACGGCCATTCGGCCGTTTTGCCACATGATGAAACAACACGTGAACGAAACACACCCCCCTCATCCGATATCTGGACGAGAGAAAGGATGCGAGACAGTTGAGTTCACGACGAAAGGGACCAACCAAAAATGCCGGCGTCAACTCAGAGGTGAGCCAAACGGCATCACCTGGGCCCCAGTTAAAATCCCGCCACCACCCCGAATTATCGGGGCGACAGGATTATTTGACGAGTGGACCACATGAGCGAACAAAGACATATTGGAGGAACCAGACGAAGATTCCTCTCGTGCCGTTCATGCGTTGTCATAGGACGACACCATGCGGAGGGGGACCCTATCTGGATCACCGCGCCTCACTGCACGCCGTGGAGTGGTTGGAAGAGTAGTCGAGTTGGGAGGAAATTAGAAACGGAAGTTCCGAAATTGGTGTGAAAATATCCGGCTACGGCCGGCCCGGCACTTCTAGTGCGGTCACAGCCTCACACAGGATCGCCAGGGGAACCGTCTCCGGCGCGCACGGCAGCGGTGCGGGAGGGACACGAGCAACGCCGGATCAGCGGTACAGGGCAATGGAGACCATCACCCCCAGCAGCGCCGCATAGGCGAGAGGAGGACCGGCGCGGTCGCGTTTTTCGGCGACACACGTACTATCCTCGCCCTTCTAAGGCGGATGCTGATTGCGGTACCCGCCTACCACCCTGAACCAGGTTCTTCCCGGTCCCTGGGCACGTCGTCTCTCCGGCGTCCACCACGGTCACCTCGATCACCTCCTCCATCCCGACGGCGATCCTCACCACCACCCCTATTGTGGTCACCAGCCGGAGGTCGGCGAGGCGGAGGGGGATCTGATTGGTGACGTCGGTCATCCCTGCGCCGGTCCCGGTGGCGATCGCGACGGTCATCACCCGGGTCATCACGTCCGCGGCGCTCATCTCGCCCCGGACCGCGCCTCTCGGAGGTCTCCTCATGACGTGGAGGAGGTCGGCGATCATCGCGTCGGCCTCCGCGGGTATCCCTGCCACGATCATCCCTTTGTCGGGGCGGGCCAGGATCCTCGCGTCCACCTTTGCCAGGTCGATGTTTTCCTCGACCCTTCCCCTCACCCTTAGGACCGCGACGATCCTCGCGGGCCCCAAGCGCGGTCCTCGACCGATCGTCATCTCGGCGGGGCCGCGACTCATTTGCCGCACGAGTGGTCCGAGGCACACCCGGGGGAAGCTCCCACTCGTCGTTGTCGTCATCGCGCGGATCATAGCCGCCGTGGCCGCCCAAGGAACCGGTGGCATCCCGTGGTGGGGACGCAGGAGTTCCGGGACCGCCCGATCGAAGACGAACTCGGGGAGTCGCGTCCTCGCCGGTAAAAGGATCCTTCTGGGTGTAGAAACCCTTGGTCCTGCCCCTTCTCTCCCCACCCACACCGCTTCTCGCGGGGACCGGGGATGGACGGGCAGGCTGGGCCATGCTCTTAGAGCTGGGTTGCCCGCCAGGCGGGACCTGAACGCCCCCCTGCCCTTTTTCGGGCGCGGGGACCCGACCATGAGATGTCCTCCTGGCCTTGGGTTGGTCGGACTCACCCTCCAGCTCGGACTCGGTGTCAGGGACACGAGTATTGATGGCCATGTCCTCTTCCTCAAACGGATCCCCAGTCGTTGTAACGCCTGCCGCAATGGGAGCGGGAGGAGGAGGAGGAGGAGTTGGTACAGCATCGCCAGAACTGACGCCTGCATGCGACACCACGGGAGTCTCCGGTTCTACCGGGACAGGCGGCGCAGGAGGAGCCGGGGGCGGTGGCGGAGGGGGAGGGATCTCCTCCTCGTCGTCGCCCATGGGCTCGTCAAGGTCGTCAGGCTTCTCGTCATCTTCGTGCGACGAACCATCCGATCCCAGCTCATCCTCCGCTGATCCAGCAAAGTCGGGCTCGTCTTCGTCCTTCACGCCGGGGCCTGGTGTAAGGCGAATTCCGGGTCGATGGCGATCGCGGGGTCGGAAGCGGTATTTCCTTGGCACAGGGTCGGACAGCTCCTGTTTGATGTCATCCTGGGTTTGAGGGCGGTCGGCCAAGCAGGTGTCGTAGGCAACAGTGGACGTCCGGTAGATCAGATCGTCCATACTGCTGAGGTCATTGAGGGTGTAGACGTACCCCTTCCTAATGCCTTCCCGTATCGTGTCCATAGCCCGTTTGAGGCGCGCGGCAGGATCGAACCCGGCCTTTCTCCGCATGGCCTGCAATATCCCGCAGTGCTGTGCGAGCAGCCCCACCTGGAACTTGAACCCCTCCCCGGACACGTCGTTGGGGAGTATCGGAGAAAGGTGTCCTGTTCTCAGCCCAATGATATGGGCCTCAAGAATGTAGTAGGACGTGTAAAAGCCGCACCGGTTGGCGTTGAAGTTTGCGGTGGTTAGGCGTCTGCCCCACTCAGCCGCATATCCCTCATATTCTTCGAAGAATTCGGGGACGGAGCTCCCGTTGAAGGCAAGACCCCTTACCAAGATCGCCTTTGCTACCCACTCTTCCACGTTGTGGTCGACCGTGTCACGGTATTTGCCGTCAAGGACTTCGTCACGGAGCGAGTCGTGAAGTTTTCGGAAAATGCCATCCACGTCCTCTTTGTCAAGGTACTTAGGAGGCCGCATCCCAGACATCAACAAGGACCGGGCATCGACGGCGGGACTCTGCGAGTAGAGGGCCATTCCGATGGCGTTGGCGTCTGCGTTGTTCCACAGAGCGGGGACGAAGCCCTCGTATTTTGCCAGCCAGGGAGGAATCACCCCGTCGGTGCTCGCTATCGTGCGAGGGCCGCCGTTTGTGTCTCCGGTGGGCAGGACGCCCTCATAGAAGATGGGAAGGTAGCAGGCGGTGCACAGGTGAGCGCCGACCGGGTGGGCCGTCATGCACCTATGGCATGGAACGGACACCACCTCGCGGATATGTTCCGTCTTGGTGATCTGATGATACTTCTCCATCTCGTCCCGACACTTCCTCGGGTTATCACTCACGAAGTTGAGGAAGTTGGGCGGATAGCACCAAGGCCTCAGGTAAACGATGGAGCAGTCCTCCTTGAAGTAGACGCATCTCCAGTACCCGATCGCGATGTTCTCGCGCGATGCAAAGGTACCCTGGCGAGTAATGTGCATGCCCCCATTTTCCATGGAGAAGAAACGTGCATCGATAGCCATGACCACATATCGGGGATCGCTCCTTTGGCGTCGACCCGAGGTGTGCAGCTCCGTCACATTGCTGTCGGTGATGCGGTCGACAGTGTCGTTGGGGCATTCTCCGTGATCGCGGAGGGATTGATATTCATCCGGCCGAGAGGGAAGGAGCTCGATCAGAGCCCGCCCACCCCGAATGATCGCCCCACGTTCTACGTAGAGCCGATACATTCGGAGGGGCACCACCTTGTAGAGTGTCTTGGGAACCACCTTGGAGGTGATAGGAAGACACACAGGGCTCTCGTAGAGCATGTATTGGTATCGTTCACGAAATGCCCGGTAATCAGTGTCGGATCCGATCTCGAGCGACCTTACCGCCGCTATGCGGGCGGAACCAGGCAGCAACCGACGCTCCTTGTCACGAATGACGGTGATGATGATCTCGAACATTCCTACCCCATCTTCGAGAAAGGAAGACAGGAGGTACGAAGAAAAGGCATCCTCAGATTCGACGCTGGTCCCGAAGTAGTGGCTCAGGAACTTCTTCAGTTGTATCACTGAAGTAACGTTCCCTTGCCCGCTGGCAGACGAGGCCTCCAACTCCGGGTCCTTGACTGCACCTGCATTTCCAGGCTGCACAGCTGTTCCACGGAGGGCGTCGCGTATTTCCGCGCATGCTCTCCTGTAGTAGTGCGAAGAGGCGCCCGTCCTACCCTCCACCTTCTGACGGATCTCGTCGGCGAAGTAGTCCAGAAGCTCCTCGGGTGCGGGAACAATGGCCT